TAAACATTACCACTGAAATCTACCCGATGACTTTATAGGCATACACAGGAGCCACGGATCCAAGTGCAACCGATTACAACTAGGATTAATCAGATACGAACAGATTAGAGATGCATGCGCCAACATCTCAGTGCTAGCAGCAGAAACAATGAGTCTTTCTGTAAGAAACAGTATATTTTAAAATGAAATAGAGATCTTTTTTAAAGGTTAAAAACTCATCCAATTTTATGTCTTACAGGGCTTGTACTGTGTCCAATATTGTATAACTGTATTAATTCAACAGTGAACCTAAAAATTGTATAGCCACTTTTCAAAGAGATGTGTCCTTGCTCTGGAGAGTGTTACTGAATATGTTAAAGCTGTAATGAAATGCTTCTTCTAATCATGTGGTTATTAAATTTTTTTAAAAATTAAAAAAAATAATTCTTCAAAGCATAAAAATTTTCCCCTTAATAATTAGTAGGTGTGAAAAACATTACCACTGAAATCTACCCGATGACTCTATATCCATGCTCAGATGCCAAGGAGCTCACAAAGCAACCGACTGTGACTAGTAATAATCAGATACATAGGATTAGAAACACATATGCAAACACCTTAGTGTCAATTGCATTAAAAATGAATTTTTCTATATGAAACTGTGTATTTTAATAATGAAATGGAGATCCTTTTTAAAGGTTAAAACCTCATTTAATTTTATGTCTTATAGGGTTTATACTGAGTACAATATTGTATAACTATTAATTCAACTGTAAGCCTAAAAATTTACAGCCAATTTTGAAAGAGATGCATCTTACCTCTGGAAATTATTGCGTATGTCAATGCTGTTTTAATGAAATGCTTCTTCTAAGTATGTGGTTATTAAATAAATAATTTTTTAAAAGAAATAAATAAAGCAGTCCAAAAAAGTATAAAATAAATCAGGCTTAATTTTTTTTCTCTACAATTTTACTCTTATAAAGAAATATTGTTGGGGCTAGGGAGGTGGCTGAGTGGTTAGGAGCACTGGCTGGTCTTGCTAAGAACCCAGGTTTGGTTCCCAGCACCCACACAGTGGCTAAGAACTGTCCCTAATTCCAATTCTGGGGATCTGATACCCTCTTCTGGTATTTGTGGACATAGCATACACAGTGCACTTAAATACATGCAGACAAAACACTCATATACATAAAACACAAACAATTTTTCTAATTAAAAGAAAGTATTGTCTGGCATGGTGGGGCATGCCTTTAAATCCAGCCCTTGGTGGGGGCAGAGGCAGGAAGATATCTGAGTTCTGTATAGTGAATTCCAGGCCAGCCAGAGCTGCACAGTGAGACCTGTCTCAGACAAAGAACAGTATTGTCCACTTTGTCCCTTTGTATTCTTTAGTCCATAGAAATATTATGTTCCTTTATTTAACATCATCCTCAATGACTTCAACTAAATTTAGTGAAAAATGTATGGAACAGTAGTACACTGTATTCAGCTGTATTTAGCGCATGTCATTTAGAGAGCAATTTTAAGTAGTATCAATTGCTAATGATCAATTGTTTTACAATTTTGGTGAGTCTTGTCACATCCCTAGACAAATGTAATTTCTTACTATGTACAAAAATGCGGATTCTTAAAATTATAGACAAGTGTCCCATTCACCACCCATCAAAGAAGCTTTTTCAACAGACAGAGAATTAGAGTTTCACAACTGGTCAAACACACAGATTCTCTGTGATTTACCCAAGCCTTAGTGGCACATCTATGATGCAACCTCTACATCTAAAGCTCACGGAACATAGAACAAGGGATGAAGAGAACACTAATACATCTTTTAATTCTCATCAGTGAAGCTCCCTCATGCCACAGAGGGCCAGGAACACAAAAGGTCACAGATGGACAAAGCATAGAGAATAAGGATCTACAGAGTGTGGGTCTTTGGCCAGGCTCCTATACTAAAATCCACCCACCCAGGGCTCAGGGACCATTGCAAAAGAGGGGGCGGAAAGACTGTTAAGAGCCAAGAGATAAGGTGCATGACCATATGGAAATAGAGTCCTACAGGCTCCTGGGACCTTGTTCATATGAATCTGCAACAATGGTGTCAGCATGCACAAGACCCATGCATACTCAAGTAGACAAAAACCCAGCACAGAACTGTGGAAACGGACAGTAGGCCCAAATTTTAGCCAAAGAATTATTGGCAGCTGATTACTGTTGGGTGAGAAAGAGCTGATCTTCTTAAACAGAGGGACTCTACATAGGTTGACTAGACTTCAGTGGATGAACTTACACTGAGAGATGTCTGGGGAGACTCACTTGACGCGATAGGCCTTAACACAAATGACAGAATGTATGAATTCCAGTGGAAGGGACCAGTGGGAGGGGACCAATGGGGAAGGGGTATAAAGATTAAGATGTTCTGTATGAAAGACACAAAAAATCAATAAAAAATTTAAAGAAAAACAAACCAATTTTGGTGAGTTATCTAAATAGGACTCTAGCTCAAATCTCGAGTCAAGCTTGACATCTCACCATTTCCCAAACAGACAAATATACACACAGGTAGTGAATTACCAATTCTGGAAGTGTTTCTTTGTCATCTGTTTGCGCGGAGGGGGGGGGGGGGGGGGCTCATAATCTAAGTCTTAAATCTTATAACCTATTTATAATCAATGACAGTTTGTATTCTAGCTAAGTTGAATGCCTCTTAAACAAGCTTCAATGCATGTTTGCCTTTCTACTGATGACCATGCAAATTTCTCAGCTTCTAATATCTAGCTTTAGTTTCAGTCTCTCTATGGAAATTACAGGTATCTTAGCATGCAGCATTTATTGACTGACTCATCAATGCCTAATAAGCATATATATTTCCTTGGTTAATTTGTTGTAAGAGTCTCATGCTCTACTGATTGAGCTAGCCAAGCATCCTGCTTTTTATAATATGACTTTCACCTAGTTAAGATTCTAAATCCTTTGAAAACAGAACTCCAATGTACTTGGCATCAACATAGCTCTATGACAGTACTTTCCCATTTAGGTATTTGAAGGTAAAGAGTATGCTGACTGTCAAAGATGCCTTATAATTATAGTTATATGGCCTTGACTAATACATAGTCAAGTAGAATAAAACACAAGTTTGGGAGTTGGAGAGATGTTTCAGTAGTTATAAGAACTGGCTACTCTTGCAGAGGACTCGGGTTTGATTCCCAGCACGCATATGGCAGCTAATAACCACCCATAACTCCAGTTCCAGAGGAATACAATGCCCTCTTCTGACCTCCCCGGGCCACTGCGTGACACAGGTGCACTTAAAAACATGCAGGCAATATACTCATGGATAAAATTAAAGTAATATATAAAACACACAATTTTGTTACTGTGTCATAAAGTCTGAACTTACCTGTGTCTGTATATCATCACCAGTCACAATATTACCAACTGCTCTTAATGCAGGTGATACAACTTTATAGTCATTGTGCCTAAAAATAAAAATATAAACTTATACAGCAAGAATTTAAAATTTAGAGAAAGTTGTAAAACTAGTAAAGAAAACTTCTATACTCAGAAATCCCATTCAAATTTCACTAAGTACCCTGGTAGTATTTTCAAAATAAAAAAACAAAATCCAGCATCATAAATGTCATACAATCTTCTCATTATATCCTACTGGGTGGCATATGGTGACTACTTTGTCCCATTACTGTGGTACTGAACTCTGGTCACTAAAAGACAGTGTGTATCACACTGTTCAACTTTACCATTCCTAACTTCCCCTTCACAGTCAGTATTTGATGAAGAAATATTTGAGATTATGTAAAAACCCCATTCTTTAACCTACTCTACCACTAGCATTAACATCTCTTGATGCTCATTATCTGAAGTAATAAGGGCTGCTATAAATGATGATTTTGTAATACTATCATTCCAACTACTTGCTTTATCTATCTACTGATCTAGCCACTTATTTTAAATATATTTATTAAATTTTATGTATGTTAGTGTTTTGCCTGCATACATGTATGTGTACCCATGTCCTGCAATGCACACGGGGACCAGAAGAGGGTGTAAGAGCCCTGGAATTGGAGTTTCAGATGGTTGTCAGTCACAGTGTGGGTGCTGGGAACTCAACCCAGGTCCTCTGGAAGAGCAGTCAGTGCTCTTACTGCTGAGCTATCTCTAACCCCTCATGGCTTTTTATATAATTATTGTAATACTGGAGAGATAGCTCAGTGGTTAAGAGCGCTGGTTACTCTTGCAGAGGACCCGGGTTGAGTTCCCAGAGCCCACATGGTGGCTGACAACCTTCTATAACTCAGTTCCAGAGGATCCACATCCTCTTTCTGACCTCCATGGGCATTGCAGGACATGAATGCATTTACATACATGCAGGCAATACACTCATACACATAAAAAACAAAAACATTTAAAAATTAAAAAAAAATTATTGTAATATTACGTTATTGGTTCTGTAAGACCAAGAACTGTGTTCTGTAACTAATTAACAATGCCTCAGGGCTGGAGAGAATGCTCAGAGGTTAAGAACACTGGTTGTTCTTGCAGAAGACCCGGGTTCGAATCCCAGCACCCACATGGCAGCTAACAACTGTCCGTAACTCCAGTCCCAGGGGATCCGACAGCCTCTTCTGGTCTCCACAGGCATTGCACGACACGGGTACACTTACCTACATGAAGGCAATACATGCATACACATTAAAAAAAAAAAAAAAAACACCAGTGTCTCCACCTTTGAAGCTAAGAGGCATTCTATAAATATTTGCTAAATTAAGTCTCACTCATAAAGAAAAGATTCATTCATATAGAAAATAACTTGCAAAACAATTTGCTTGCATTTCAGAATATAAGTTGAAGAATCAAGTTTTTGGTAGATTACAGATACTCTATAAAGTGTAGAGTTGGCATCTTTTTAATTTTTCCCAAAGATGTGACTTGAGATATTTATGACGCTATTATCTTGACTATTAAAATTACTATACAATCACATCATCATTAAGCATAAATTATAGTTACATCAAAAGTTCCACCAATCTTCGACAGACTCCAGAATCAATGACTACTTGAATCTTATCATTGGGTCCATCAGAGAGATAAGAAAGGGCCCAGCACACATCTGCTAACACATCTGGATCACTGCTAAACAATAATCGTGGTAAGACATTTAAGCAAGGTGAAACCTGTAAGAGGAAAAAAAAGTCAATATTTAATTTTTTTCTTTATTTAATATTGTACGTCCTTTGGAAAATGCAGAAATCCAGTTAAAAACAAAATATAATACTATAAAAACACCAAAGAAAAATTCCATTATTTTAAGATTATGAGGAGGTACATGAACATGAAAATGGTTATGGCTGCTATTTATTAGATATTGAATTAATTTTTTTAAAGTAATGATATATTTGGTATCTCCTCCTGATATTTAAATCATAGATATCTAAACTTAGAAGATTAACTGTTTCATATTTACTGTTTAATATAATGAATATAGAATATAATCTAACTTATATTAGTTTCATTCTAGTCATCAGACAGGAAATGGAAAGACATATATTTCTAAAAGGTCTTCTAACAAAAGTCACTAATAGATGTATTTCTCTTTTCCCTTTCCTTTTCTTTTTTCTTTCATTTCTTTTCCTTTTCTTGTTTTATTTTATGATGCTGGGGCTTGAACTCAGGGCCCTACATATGCTAGGTAAATGTTCTACTACTGAGTTAAATATTACCTACCCTGGCCTCAAACTTCAGACTCGGTGTAGGATTATATGTATGTGCCACCACACCCAGCTATATTTCTTCTTAATAGAATGAAACCTTAAATCTTCAACTAAAAAAAAAATAATAACAGGCAACAAGTGTGCTCAAGTACATATCTATAATCCCAGTATGTAAAAGACTGAGGTAGGAGAATGGAGAGTTCAAGGCCAGCCTGAGCTACATAGTAAACTCCAGTCTCAAAAACAAAACAAAACAAGCCATGGTGGCGCACACCTTTAATCCCAGCACTCGGAGGCAAAAGCAGGCGGAACTCTGTGAGTTCAAGGCCAGCCTGGTCTACATAGTGAGTTCCAGGACAGCTGGAGCTACAGGGAGACCCTGTCTCAAAAAGACCAAAACAAACAAACAAACAAACAAACAAACCACAAGCTAAAAACATAAAATGTCTTAATCCCTCTAGAATTGTAAGTATCCTCTTACTACTAATATAAGTAACTAATGGGAAGTGAACAAGGCACTTCACCTCTCAGAGACCACTTTCAGATCTGTGAAACAAAAGGACTAGACTGATTACATCACTTCCATGATCTTTTCCATCTTCCCCTCCTCAGAAAGCCCTAGCTAAAATACTATCTACTAACCTGTAGGGCCATGGGAAAATTATCTAACATATCAAAATTTCTTCCCTTGTAAAATGATCATAATAAAGAACTATTAAATGTGTAAGAATGCATGTAGCATCTAAGAACAACGCCTGCTCCTCACATCTAGGAACTACTCAAACACCAGCTCTTTCTATTCCCATTTTCAGTACTGAAACTCTTCGTAAGGTATTTTAAAAATTTTTATTGGTAATCTCACATATCTCTTAGTCTTTTTTCTTACATATAGATAAAGGTAGCTAGAGACTTATATATATCCATCCTCTACCTCCCAAATGCTGGATTAGAGACATGCACCACCACATCTGGCACACTGACAAGATTTACATTGACGAAATATTATCTAAGTATAAATCCCTTTCAAATGTTTTAGAGTAAAAATGTATGAATTTAACATTTATTGGTTATGTTTCTTTAAAAGATGTCTTAAAATCATACTTGTTTTTAAATATACAATCAGTATGTCTATTTCTTTTAGGTACGTCAGTTTGTATTATGAAATGTATATAACCAACATCCAATCAAATCACAAACTAGTTCCATCATTCTGAAAATTTTCCGAAGCCCCTTGGTAATCAATTTTCTTATCTCAGACAACTTCCCAAATGAATTTTATTCTTTTAAATTTCTTTTCCAAAATACACAAAATGGAATCATAAGATTTGTGTTTGGTCCTTGCACTTAGCTTAATGATTCTGATATGATGGCATGCATCAGTCATCTGTTCTGCCTTACTGCTGAGTTGCACTTCCTCAAATGAACACACCATAACTAATTTATCCATAAACAAACTGAGGTACATTTACATTGTTTCCAGTTTTTTTTGTAACTATGAATAAAAAATCCATAAATATTTACATATAGGCCTTTTTTGGTTATACTAGGTTCATGTCTTTTGGGTAAGCACTGGATAGTGAGAATGCCAGCTGATTTATCCTAAACTGTGTCACTTTCCATCTCAAATTGCCTAAAACACACTGGTTCTGATGAATTATCTTACTTTTTTGTGTGTGGGAGGAGCTTCAATTTCCTATAAATGACAGGAACTAGATTACAACATTTCTAATTAAACTCTAAGACATTAAAAAATCTAATTATAGTGGACACTTCTGGGTAGAAGGAAGAGTAGAAACCCACAAATCTTTTATAATTAATTCAATCTACAAAATTAGTTAAAAAGACAATCATGACTAAAAATAGTCTTTTCAATCTAAAAAAAAAACTATCACAAAGAAATAAGTTTACAGAAATAGATTTCTTCACTTACATATTTTAGTCATACCTTACTAAAATTTGGAGGCGGGTTTTTGCCTCTACATAAATTTGACAGGGCCCATACAGCATTTCTGATGGTTGTAAGTCTGTTTGAATTTGTTAATAACCTGCCAAGAATAAAAAAGAACTGTCATTTTATTTTCATTTTTCCACTTCAGCTATTTTTGTGTAATAAATTCTCTTAAATTTCAAACTGGTAAAACAGGAAAAGGGAGTCTTTAAAATACTTAAAAATTTTTTTTTTACTTATTTTAATTTTATGTATATGAGTGTTTTGCCTCCATGTATGTAAGGGCACCCACCATGAGTATGCAATGCCCACAGAGGTGAGAAGAGGTCATCAAATCTCCTGGAACTGGAGCTACGGACAGATGCAAGCCACCATGGGGGTACTGGGAACTGAACTCAGATCATCTGGTTAAGTAGCCTGTGTTCTTAACTGCTGAGTCACCTCTCTAGACCCCCAATTCATTATACTTTTACTGAAAATATAGTTCAATTTTCTGGGCCAAGCATTGGTGAGATAACACCTATAACCCCAGTACTCAGGAGGCAGGCAGGCAGGTATCTGTGAGTTCAAGGCCAGCATGGTCTCCATAGTGAGTTCGTTCCAGGCCATTCAGGAATACACAGTGAGTCAGGGTCTCCCTATGGCCCAGCAGGCCTGGAACTTGCTATGGAGACCAGGCTGGCTAGCCTCCATCCCACAGAGATGCACCTGCCTCCCAAATGCTGAGGTTAAAGGCATGAGCCATGAAGCCTGGGATTAAAGGTAGGCACCACCACACCCAGCTTCTATTCTAAAGTCTGAATCTACAAATTTGAAAAGATTCTTAAATTATATTATAATGAAGATAATGGATATCTAAGGAAATTTAGCTATATTAAAGAATATTTATTTAAAGAGTACATGATTATTTTGTTGTAAATATGAAAATACTACATTATACAAATTAAAAAAGCAAGGAATACAGAGTCAAATTAAGTGAAGATCAGTTACTGACAAAGGAAGTTCTTTGTTTTTATTTTAACAGATCTGGCAATGTCTAAGTATTTTTGAGCTGGTTTGCAATGCATCCTGTACCTGCTAAGAAACTGAGTATCTAAAACAAGAATGTCTCCTCTCAGTCTCCTAAGTAGTACACAGTGACAGGCTCCCCGCACACACACATCATAATGTTTCAGTTATTTATGTGTTTTGGTTAATTATTTCTAAATAGAAGACTCTCAGGACAGTGAGATGGCTCAGTGGGTAAAGATGCTTGCCATCCAGGCTTACTACCTGAGTTCCATTCCCAGGATTCACAGGGCGGAAGCAGAGAGCTGGTTCCTGCAAGCTGTTCTCCGAATCCCACATGATTCCCTAAAGTATTTTTTTTAAACCTTTAAGGAGCTAAGAAAACTAGTAACATCTTAATAGACCTGTATCTCTCATAAAAAGAACACATACATCAAAATTTAGCATACAATTTCAGTTTGTTAACCCACTAAGGACAGTCACAACCTGCTAGAAATATACAGCCTAGGTTGAAAAAAAAAAAAATCCCATTTTACATTGACATCAGCAACAATGGTAAATAGGGGAACTCTGACAGACCTGTGCCTCCCCTCAGTAAAAGCCTTGAGAAGAACCCAAGCTTCCACCTCTGCCTGACCTTCAGATTTAGCATAAGCAGAAGGTGAAGGTGAAGACATAGTAGTGACTGGCTTGGCTGATCATCAAATAGATGGTAGCACAAAACAATTTTTTTAAATCTTTCTTTTCTTCACTTTCGTTTTATGTTTCCAAACATTTAAGGCATTTAAACCACAAGCTAGCCACTAAGTTAAAGGCACAGAAACACTAGAGACTACAAAGAACTGACAATACAGGTTTTACAAAAACAAAGAAAAAAATGAACAGAATTTTAGAGACTTGTGGGCATAATCAACCCTACCAATAAGGAAATCTAAAATGGTGAGGAAAGAAAGGGCAGAAGGAATATTTATACGTCATATCCAAGAAAGCCAATGAACTCTAAGTAGGATAAAAATCAAAGAAATTCACACCAGGACGCATAATTCGATGGTCAAAAGCCAAACAGAAAATGTTGGAGCAAAAAGAGAAGTGATCCTCATCTGTAAAGGTTCCTTAGTAAAGTAAACAGCTGTTTTTTCACTAAAAATGATGAAGGGCAAAGACAGTGGGATGACAGATGACAAATTTACAATGCTGATATTTAAAAAGGAGTCAACCAAGACTTCTATATCCAGCAAAAAACTGTCCTTTGAAACATCAGGAGAAAGTAGGGATTCCCAATAAACAAATTTTAAGGAGTCATCACTGGTAAGTTTGCTTTGTAAGGCTAGCTAAAGGAAATCTTTTAGGCTGAAATAAAAGGTCAACAGAAGATCTATAAAACATACAAATAAGGAACACTGCTAAAGGTAATGACATAGGTAAATAAAAAAAATGAGGACTTAAAAAACAAATGCAAAAAAATTTACAAATCTACCGTAATAGGACATAATGTATGACATATTTTGATATATTTTGTGACAACTTAAAAGGGAAAAGCAGAACAGATTTTGCATAATTTTGAAGCAAAACCAGTGGAAGTTCAAACAAAACTGTTGTGAATTTAAGATAAAAAGTACATTCCCTAAAATAATTATTAGGAAAATAATTATATAAAACTTTAGACCAACAAAAGAAAACAGATTCATTACTAAACTAAAACTAAATAATAACAACTGAATCAAAAGGTAGTTCTGGGGCTGGAGAGATGGCTCAATGGTTAAGAGCACTGGCTGTCTTTAAACAGAACCTGGGTTCGAATCTCAGCACCAACATGGTGGCCAACAACCATCTATAACTCCAGTTCCCGGGGATTCAATGCCCTCTCAGACCTCTGTGGGCACTGCACTACACAGATGCACTTACATACATGCAGGCAATGCACTCATACACATAAAATATAAATAAAAAATTTTTAAGGTGGCTCTTCAGGAAAAACAAAATTAACAAATCTTTAGCCGAACAAAGGGAAAAAACTGCTACTAAAATTAAAAGTTAAAGTGATGTTACTACTGAACTTTCTAAAATTATTTATTTATTTTTTTTATTTTATGTATATGCATGTATTGCCTGCATGTAGGTAAGTGTACTCGTGTTGTGCAATGCCTGCAGAGGTCTGAAGAGGCTGTCAGATCCCCTGGAACTGGAGTTACGGACAGTTGTTAGCTGCCATATGGGTGCTGGGATTTGAACCTGGGTCTTCTTCAAGAACAACCAGTGTACTTAACCATTGAGCCATCAACTTTTAAAAATAAAAAGAATTATATGAGGATATTGTGATCAATCAAAACCTAACAAGTTGGATTATCAAGGAGGAAAAATATCATAGCAAATAATGTATCAATCACAAACTTTACAACATAGTCAGATGGCTTCACTATGAATTCTACTAAACATCAATGAAGAATTAAATCTTTCTCAAATTCTTTGAAACAACAGAGTACTTCCTATTTAAATCTATATAGACAACATTATCCCCAAATCAAGGTACAGACCAATATTCCTTATGAAAATACATGTAAAATTTTTCAGTAAAAACCTAGAAAAATTAACTTAACAGGAAAATTAATTCTAGGAAATTTAATAATCAAAAGTATTAAGTAGTGTCACCTAATGGGATTTTGTCTTACAATTTCAAAGATGGTTCAATATGTAAATATCAATGTGAAAAAAACACATTAACAAGATAAAAGAAAACACGATTGAGCATACGGTTCTAGTTTCTCCATTGCTGTGACAAAACATTCCAACCAATACCAACTTGGGGAGGAAAGGATCAAAGTTTATCAGGGAGCCCAAGGCAGGAACTCAGAGCAGGACCCTGGAGGAACACTGCTTAATGGCTTGCTCCCCTGGCCCATGTCAGCCTGCTTTCTTACACAATACAGAGCCTGCCCAAGGGTGGCATAGCCCACAGTAGGCTACACTCTCCCACATCATTCAAAAATCAAGCAAATACCCTAAGACATGGCCACAGGCCAGTCCAATGGAGGCAATTAATTCCCCAATTGAGGCTCTCTCTACCCAGGTGTGTCAAGTTGACAACTAAAGGTATCCAGCACACATACCAACTGAACATACAAAAAACTAAAAGGATGGCCATGATGGCGCACGCCTTTGATCCCAGCACTCAGGAGGCAGAGGCAGGTGGATCTCTGTTAGTTCAAGGCCAGCCTGGTCTAACATGAGTTCCAGACCAGCTGGGGCTACAGGGAGACCCTATCTCAAAAGACCAAAAAAAAAAAACCAAAACAAAACCTAAAAGAACCCAACATTTAATAAAAACTCAAGAATAAAAGGAAATCATTTCAACATGATAAACTGTTTGTGAATAAAAAACCCATACTAAAATACTCAATGGTAATAAAGTTTTCATTTCAGCAAAAGAAATAAGACAACAATGTTCACTTTTGCCATTTCTTTGCAATTTTGCAGAAAAAGACATCTAAACTGGAGATCAAAAGATAAAACTATCTCTAGTCACAGATGATATACTCTCATATAGAAATTCAAAGACTCTACAAAAAGCTACTACTTGTAGTTGAATGGACTGTGAAACAGTGTTCCTCTGGCTTTAAAAATATGCTTGGTGAGTTAAGCTGAACTTTGAAGCTGTATGTCTGGAGAACCTTGTGTCTCATGAGAAAGTTTATGCAAGAATGCTTGCTGGGAGATATCTCTGGAACGCTGGTACTCCCCTAGTTTCTCAGGAGACATGTTTATCTACCAAGAAAACATATCATGGAGATAATGTTGTCTTGCTCACTTTATTTTGCTGAATTGTTATATCCAAGCCATATTATCATTATTCAGAGTTCTGTAAACATTTGACTATAGTTCTCATACTACTCTATGAGAAGCCATTTTATTGTTGTTCAGTTCTCTAAACAACTGACTGTGATTCTCACAATATGAGAATAAAAGCAGAGCTGCTGGTACTATAGGAACTCATGTGCATGAAAGCACTGGGTCTCCTGGTTGATTAGCAGTTCTGTGGTAATCCATTCGGGTCTCATGACTGCTCCCCTCAGTGGCCACATGTAGTGAGTG